TCATCTTCCTCAGATATTCAGAAATGGCTACCAATAGTGGAAACTGAAACAGGTTAACCACCAATTCAAAAGTTCTGCCCTAACTAAATTCCTGCTAGACACTGTAAATTGGACCAAGGGGGCTTATCAATCCTTTCTGCAACTAGAAACTTGAGAAACTACATATAACCAAGTGAACTGGGATCAGAGCCAAATATAAATCATAACCATTCTGTTGGCAATGGTTGACTCTAGAGATATCTTATTCTATGCCAAAACAATTCTTTTTTTATTTTTTTATTTTTTTTATTTGAGACAGTTTCACTCTTGTTACCCAGGCTGGAGTACAATGGTGCGATCTCGGCTCACCACAACCTCCACCTTCTGGGTTCAAGCAATTCTCATGCCTCAGCCTCCTGAGTAGCTAGGACTACAGGCCTGCACCACCATGCCCAGCTAATTTTGTATTTTTAACAGAGACAGGGTTTCACCATGCTGACCAGGATGGTCTCGATCTCTTGACCTCGTGATCCACCCGCCTCCACCTCCCAAAGTGCTGGGATTACAGGCATGAGCCACCGCGCCTGGCCTACCAAAGTAATTCTTTTAAGGGCTGCTAAGGCCAATAAACATAGCAAGTTGATGAAAATGAAATAATATCTGAAGACCAAGAAGATGAGCATATCATTTTCATAACATATATATTATTATATCATTTTTATAATATATATTTAAAAACTATTGGATCTTTTTAATAGACTTCAAATCCATGCAAATCCTGTTAAAGAAATGTAGAGCATTCTGCTTAAATATCATGTTTGAACGCTCATATTTATATCCACTCACTTTTGAAATATGACTGAAATACAGTAATGAATTATCTAGATACAAATGTAAAAGGATGAAGTGAAATATAGAGAGGATAATAAAAGATGAGAAATATCAAGAAAATCAGAAAAAAATCTTACTGGAAAATTGATGTGTAGATAATGATTGAATTTTCAAAGTACTATACAGAAAACTAATACCTTAATGCCTACGGGGGAAAAAAAAGCCCAAGTGAATTATATGCAATGTATTTACAATTAAATGATATCAGACTTCTCAAAAGCAAAATTAGAAGCTAAAAAGAAATGAAGAAATTCCTGAGAGGAAAGCATTTTTTAAACCATTAGTTCTATCGCAAAAATATCAAATCAAATTCAAGGGTGAAATAAAAACCTTTCTAGACACACAGTGTTTCCAAATAATTCTCTCTCATCCACACCCTCTCAGCAATCTCCTAAAGAATGTACTCCATCGAAATAAAATAATAAACTCAGAGAAATGGATGGAATCAATGTAATTAGGGAAAACATAAACAAGATCATTAAGACAAAGAAAATTCCCAAGACAACAGCATTTTATCAAGCTAAGAGTGCAACACATCTAGAATGGATTAGGGAAAAAATATGTGGTAGATATCTGAAGAGAAAACACTTGGACTGACAGATCTCCTAAAGGAATATATATTCTATAGAGCATTTAAAGAAAGATTAGTTCCATGTATGCAAAAAAGGCATAGACTACTAAGAAAAATAAGTATTAAATCCAGGAAAAAACAAAAAATCACAATAGAAAGAAAGTATAATCATATTACACATGCCACTGAAAAATATTTATGTAAAGAGAATAATATAAACAGTAAAAGTTAACTAGGAAAAGCAATATAACTGTTGATAAGATACAACAAGAGGAAATATGTGAACATAAGAGAAGTGATGGCAAGAGAGATAAATCCTCATTTTTCTCATATAGAAAGTTAAGATAATGTAAAATTTAAAATCAATAAATTGTAGTACAAACTTACTTTTTAGAAATAGAGCAATATCACTTGAAGAATTAGCTAATATGTTTTACAGTGGTTGCCTGCAGTGAAAAGAGCTAGGTGAAATAAAAAGATTAACAGAATTAAAAATTAAGCAGTAGATTACATACTTGAGATCAAAATAAATGAATCAATGACCCTGAGAAGAAATTTGAGAAGTGAAAATATGTACCATGTTCATGGGTTATAATACAAAATACTGTGATGTGCCCTGTATTCATAGAATGAATGTGTTCCCAATACCCCAAAAGATTTTAGGAAAGGAAATTGGCAAACTTATTTTTCAACATGAATGATGGTGCGAAGAGCCAAGAATAGCCAACACACAACTGAAGAATAATAAGATGGTATATTTTACTTATTACCAAATTAAAATAATTAGAAGAATGTGCTATTAGCAAAAAAAAAAAAAAAAAAAAAAAGAAAGCATGGAACAATAGAACAGAACAGAGGCCAAAACCTTCCACACATGTTAACCCTTGATTTATGGCTGTTGCAGGTGCTGTTAACAGCTTACACCTACAAGTTTTCCCAGGAGCACGTCCTTAGGGGATTGGAATCACCTGACCCAGGGGTGTCTGAAACTTATGCCTCTAACCCAGGGATTCCCAAAGCCAATTATGGACATGTTGTGGCACAAAAGTCCCACTTCTTTGCTTCAAACTAGTAATGACTCTGCAGCACAGTACAAGTTATGTTCCAGAGCTCCCTGTGGGATCAGCTAGGGATAGGCTTCCCCTCCAGCCATGTATTTCTTTGGCTTCACTCTCTCTTTCCGACAATGTTTCCTTCTCCTGCCTACAGGTTTCTTTTAAAAGTATTTCTGTAATAAGTCTCCTGCCTTAGAAAACTCACTTTAAGTTCCATATTGGTGGAATGCAAAATAAGACACAGCTGAATGAAAATTAAAATATTACTGATATATTCTTATCTACTAAATAAGTTGCCATCAGCTATTAGATGAATAGAAGAGTAATGCATTTTATATACTGTATATATAAAATCTTCATAAGGAATACATATGGTATGTTGTGTGTTCTCTATCCAACAAACTGATAGAGATTTAGTGAATGAATAAGTTAAAATTATTATGTGAAAAACTTGATAATATGTATAAAGAAGTTTAAAAGTGATTAAACAGGATTTACTTGTGTTATGGTTTGGCTGTGTCCTCCCCCAAATCTCAATTGTAACTCCCACAATTCCCATGTGCCATGGTAGGAACCTGGTGGGAGATGGTTGAATTATGGAGGCGGGTCTTTCCTGTGCTGTTCTGTTAGTTAATGAGTCTTATGAGATCTGATGGTTTTAAAAACAGGACTTTCCCTACACAAGTTCTCTTTTTTTGCCTACTGCCATCCACATCAGATGTGACTTGCTCCTTCTTGCCTTCTACTATGATTGTGAGGCCTCCCCAGCTGTGTGGAACTGTAAGTCCAATTAATCCTCTCTCTTTGGTAAATTGCCCAGTCTCAAGTATGTCTTTATCAGCAGTTTGAAAACGGACAAATACAGTACATTCACAAGGGTAGGGTGGGGCATTGCTGAAAGGATACTTGAAAATGTGAAAGTGACTTTGCAACTGCACAACAGGCAGAGGTTGGAACAGTTTGGAGGGCTCAGAAGACAGAAAAATGTGGGAAAGTTTGGAACTTCTTAGAGACTTGTTGAATGGTTTTGACAAAAATGCTGATAATGATATGAGCAATAACATCCAGGCTGAGGGTCTCAGATGGAGATGAGGAACCTAGGAACTGGAACAAAGGTGACTCTTGTTATGTTTTAGCAAAGAGATTGGTGGCGTTTTGCACCTGCCCTAGAGATTTGCGGTAAGAGAACTTGAACTTGAAAGAGATGATGGAGGGTTTTTGGTGGAAAAATAAATTTCTCAAGCAGCAAGGCATTCAAGAGGTGACTTGAATGCTGTTAAAGCATTAATTTCATTTTATAAGAAAAAGAGAGCATAAAAGTTTGGAAAATTTGCAGCCTGAAAATGCAATGGAAAGGAAAATCCCATTTCTGAGAAGAAATTCAAGTCAGCTGCAGAAATTTGCATAAGTAATGAGAAGCAAATATTAATCCCCAAGACAATGGGGAAAATGTCTCATGGCATGTCAGAGATCCTCATGGCAGCCCTTCCCATCACAGGCCTGGAGGTTTAGCGGAAAAAAAAAAAAAATACAAAAAAAAAACGGTTTTGTGGACCAGGATCAGGGTCCCTCTGCTGTGTGCAGTCTAGGTATTTGGTGCTCTGTGACCCCACTGCTCCAGCCATGACTAAAAGAGGCCAAGGTATGGCTTGGGCTGTGGCTTTAGAGGGTGTAAACCCCAAGCCTTGGCAGCTTCCACATGGAACTGTGCCCAGAAGAATTAAGGTTTGGGAACCTCTGCCTAGATTTCAGATGATGCATGGAAATGCCTGGATTCCCAGGCCGAAATTTGCTGCAAGGGCAGGGTCCTCATGGAGAACCTCTGTTACAGCAGTATGGAAGGGAAATGTGGGGTTGGAGCCCCCACACAGAGTCCCTACTGGGGCACTGCCTAGTGGAGCTGTGAGAAGAGGGCCACTGTGCTCCAGACCCCAGAATGATAGATCCACCAAAAGCTTGCACCCTCCTTCTGGAAAAGCTGCAGACACTCAATGCCAGCCCATGAAAGCAGCCACGGGAGGGGGGCGGGTTATACCCTGCAAAGCCACAGGGGCAGAGGTGCCCAAAGCCATGGGAACCCACCTTTTGCATCAGTGTGACCCAGATGTGAGACATGGAGTCAAAGGAGATCATTTTGGAGCTTTAAGATTTGACTGCTCTGTTGGATTTTGGACATGCATGGGAACTGCAGGCCCTTTGTTTCAGCCAATTTCCACCATTTGGAACAGCCCTATTTACCCAATGCCTGTACCTAGGAAATGCCTGTATCTAGGAAATAACTAACTTGCTTTTGATTTTACAGGCTCATAGGCAGAAGGACTTGCCTTGTCTCAAATGAGACCTTGGACTATGGACTTTTGACTTAATGCTGAAATGAGTTAAGACTTTGGGAGACTGTTGGGAAGGCATGATAGGTTTCGAAATGTGAGGACATGAGATTTGGGAGGAGCCAGGGCTAGAATGATATGGTTTGGCTTTGTTTCCACACAAATCTCATCTTGAACTGTAACTCCCACAATTTCCATATATTGTGGGAAGAACCTGGTGGGAGGTTATTGAATTATGGGGGCAGATCTTTCCTGTGCTATTCATCATAGTGAATGAGTCTCATGAGATCTGATTGTTCTAAAAACAGGAGTTTCAGGCCAGGCACAGTGGCTCATGCCTGTAATCCCAACACTTTAGGAGACCAGCGCAGGCAGATCATGAGGTCAGGAGTTTGAGATCAGCTTGGCCAACATGGTGAAACCATCTCTTCTAAAAATACAAAAATCAGCCGAGCATGGTGGCACACACCTATAATCCCAGCTATTCAGGAGGTGGAGGAAAGAGAATTGCTTGAGCCTGGGGGACAGAGTTTGCAGTGAGCCGAGATCGCACCACTACACTCCAACCTGGGCAACAAAGCAAGACTCTGTCTCAAAACAAAACAAACAAACAAACAAAACAGGAGTTTCTCTGCACAAGCTCTAGTTTGCCTGCTGCCATCCATGTAAGATGTGACTTGTTCCTCCTTGCCTTCCACCATAATTGTGAGCCCTCCTAGCCATGTGGAACTGTACGTCCGTTAGACCTCTTTTTCTCCCCAGTCTTGGGTATGTCTTTATCAGCAGCAGACTGATAAAACAGACTAATACAACTTGTATGAGTTCATATGGATGAACTAAACAGAAAAAGATATTTTATATGCAAGAAGCTTTATTGTAGTAGTATTTATAATCATCAAAAACTGCCAAGATATTTGAATGGTCAAAACAAGGGAATATAATATAGCAATTAGAGACTTTTTAAATAATCATTTAAGGATATGAGGGGGAAGAGGAGGAATCCAAAACTGTATATACAATATAATCCCACTGATATTTAAAGTGAAAATATTTTTGTTGGTGTGAATGGAAAAAAATAAAAAGAAAAAAAAGTACAGAAAAATGGGAGCAGTAATCATCTCCAGATGATGAAACTGATAAATTTATTTTTCTTTATACTTTCCCATAAATTATAAAATTTCTATTAGCATAATTATTTTTGTAATCTAAAAGATATATTTGTAAAGTCCTTGGCTTGTTTCTAATCTTTGACACCCATTAATTTAAATACATACGTTTACTTTTTCATGATGATCACCTTGTATAAGATAGAGTTATTCATTACCATATGCAAATTTTTCAAAAACCTTTAATTTCTAAAAAAAAATACTGGCTTTTTAAAAACTAAACTTTTAATTTGGGGTAAATATTTCATGGGACAAATAGCCACTATAATTTAAAAAATACTCCTGGAAGCCAGTGAAATTGTCAGAGCAAATAAACTAATTGTCTGAATTACCACCAACTCCATCTTTCCTGGCCCATGACTTCCATTGAACCTTCTGAACATTTCCAGGCTGTGTTTAAAACTACAAAATGCCTTGGTCTGTGGGACAAACCAAGGGAAGTACTACAGGGCTTCAGAAATGCAATGTGGTTCTTGTCACAGAAATATAATCACTGATGTGTTGAGGATAGACACTCAGTTACATTTGTTTTATTTCATAAAACCACTTAAAGCTTAAGTTAAAGGAAATCAACCTATTTCTTACTTATTTATTTTCATTTCACACTTCTTTTCAGATATTTTTATTTGTTGAAGTCAGTGTATTTTGTTTCAAGAATGTTTTAAAATTGCTGCAATGCAACTTGATATAGGAACACCCAAGACGGCACTCATATTTTCAATATAGCTCAGTTAGCAACAAAGGTTTTACAAACAGAAGGCACTTAGTGAGTTGCTAGCTTAATCCCATCATTTTTCAAATAAAACTGAGGTTCATAGGGCTAAGAAACTTATCAAAGTTCAAATCTAATTATGACAGAGTTACTATGTATCTAATTCCAGTATTTTTTTTAACACCAATAGTGCTCAACCACAGCAGATCAGAAATGTTCGAGTTTGCAATTTTCTGATACTTGAAAAAAAAAAAAAAAAGGTCACTTGAAGAAAACAGCTGCAAATTGTGTTATCAGTAATAATCTCTATTTTGGAGAGGGAAAAATCATGTTTCTTCTTTTTCCTAAATGGTAAAAATGTTTATTTGTATGAAGTTTGTTTATATTCATCATGAACTTTTCTACTAAAATTCTGTGAGTGAATACAGAGGGGCATTTTTTTCTTCTTTTAATGAGGGAAGGTGCAAGTATTACCTCTAGTTAATTAATCTTAACAAACAAGCCAGTATTTCAACTTGGATTTTGATGTGTGACAAACAGCACTTTTAGGACCTGATCCTGGCAGATCTGACTTAACAACCTGTAATTTAAAAAATAGAAAAGTAGGAGTCACTCACCTTATGGCCTCACTATATTAGAACACACAATTTCAGTACCAAAGTAAAGCAAAACAATTTTTTCTACTGCTTATTAATGGTAAAATGAAGACACAACAATTTATAGAGGTTTATTAGTGAATAAGTAAATGCTGATTTAAAGAGACTTCCATGTTGCATTAAACTGTGCCTTCAATAATGAATATATAACTAGAGGTAACTATTATACAAACCATTGCATACCAAAACAATTAGTGGTAAATAATGAGTCAGAATTATCAAAATTTTTAATAACTTCTAGTATATTTATCTATGATTTATTTATATTCTGACATGTTCCTATTATAAACTAATATGGCTTACAAAAATATGCATTATAAAATATAGCAAGATATCAGAAATTAAAAATTTTTAAGAAATATAAGGCAAAAATAAAATTAGGAAACCATAAAGGAACTAGGTATAAGGAAGGTGGGGAGAAGGAGGAATAGTCTAAGTACGCTAACATCCTTATTCATAGTTAAAACTCTGTAACCATATTGAAAAAATGTAGTTAAAAAATCCAGTGACCTCAATCTCTTATATTTTTGGATTATTTTAATTTTAGAGAAATATTCCAATGACTAATATTGCTTTGCAATTTAAATATTTAGGCCAGGTACAACGGCTCACACCTGTAATCACAGCACTTTAGGAGGCAAAGGCAGGAGAATTTCTTGAAGCCAGGAATTCAAGACCACTCTAGGCAAAATAACCAGACTCCGCCTCTACAAAAAATATACAAATTAGTCAAGTGTGGTTGTGCACATCTATAATCCTAGCTACTTAAGGATAAGGTGGGAGGATCACTTGATGTTAACAGTTCGAGTAAGCAACAAGCCATGATTGTACCAGTGTACTCCAGCCTGATCAACAGAGCAAAAACGTTTCAAAACAATCTGAAGTTAAGATATTACTTCATTTTCTGGTGGTGTTTGTTTGTTTGTTCAAGACAGAATCTTGCTCTGTCATTCAGGCTGGAGTGCTGTGGTGCAATCTCAGCTCACTGCTGCAACCTCTGCCTCCAGGGGTCAAGCAATTCTCTTGCCTCAGCCTCCCAAGTTGCTGGGATTACAGGTGCCCACCACTATGCCCAGGTAATTTTTGTATTTTTAGTAGCGACAGAGTTTCACCATGTTGGCCAGGTCTCAAACTCCTGATCTAAGATGATCCATCTGCCTTGGCCTCCCAAAGAGTCCTAGGATTACAGGCATGAGCCACTGTGCCTGGCCTTGTGTTTTTTTGTTTTTTTGTTTTTTTTAATTAAATGTATGTTTAATGTTACATTTTAATTTAAAATTACATATAGAGTATTATCATACCTGCTCCAAAATTATTGTTACCTAGCTATTGTCTCTCTGTATATACACACAAAGAGAGATAATAAATTCTATTTAACAAATATTTATAATGATTATTTCTGTTATTTAAACTTTGGCTTATTTTTTACTTTCTTTTTAGTAACTTTCCATATTTAATTGTTTTATGTAAATAATAAATATATTATTCTTTTCAATAAAATCTAAGAGCTGTGATTTTTAAAAATATTTTAATGCAGGTATTGGGCATTTGAATTAGTTTGTGTGCAGTGCAATCTAATCTGTTAGTAACCTTGTTCCCAAGTTATACTCTATTTTGGAATAATCAAGAGCTCAAGTGTAATTATAATCACATAGGTCTCCAAATCCCAGTCCAGTTTTATAAATAGGACCACTACCACAACCACCACACACACACACACACACACACATATACACACACACACACACACATACACACACACACACACACACACACACACACACACACACACACACACA